CGAGCAGGGAGCCCGATGCGGGACTCGATCCCGGGACTCCAGGATCATGACCCGAGCCGAAGGCAGTCGCTTAACCAACTGAGCCACCCAGGCGCCCGGTATGGTCCTACTTTTATCTTTCCCCAAATAGCTACTCAGTTGTTTTCAGCACTATTTTTTAGAAAGTCCATTTTTGCCCCAGTAGCTTGAGATGACCCTTTACCAATATTCCAAGTTTCCAAATGTGCCTCGGTCTATTTTGGGGCTTTCTATTCTATTCTATTCTGCTGGTCTGTTTGTCTACTCATGCACTGATACTGCACAGTTTTGTTATAGAGGCTATATTTATAGTATATTTTCTTGTCTGATAAGGCTAGGGCTCCTCAGATTTTCCTTTTCGTTGTTTGCCAAAATATTTTTGCATATTTGTTTTTTTCTATATTTTATTCTTGCTGAAAATGCATAGCCTGCATTTAATCATGAGGACACTGAGGGAAATTGTATACAAGAATTGGCTAATATTCTTCACAAAAACATTAAGGTCATGAACAAAAAAGAAAGATGAAGGAATTTTCCAGAATTAAAGGAGAGTAAGGAAACATGACAAATGTACTATGTAGTCCTAGATAGATAAAAGGACATGGGACAAGTGACAAGTTTAAATGAGGTCTATAGATTAGATAATAATAATGCATCAATATTACTTTACTGGTTGACTGTACTAGGTTTATGTAGGTTATAAACATTTGGGGAAACTGGGTAAAGGATATATGGGAATTCTTTGTAATATTTTGGCAATCTTTTTATAAACCTGAAATGATTTCAAATTAAAAAATAAAAACATTTGGGGCGCCTGGGTGGCTCAGTTGTTAAGCATCTGCCTTCGGCTCAGGTCATGATCCCAGGGTCCTGGGATCGAGCCCCATGTCGGACCGTCTGCTCGGCGGGAAGCCTGCTTCTCCCTCTCCCACTCCCTCTGCTTGTGTTCCTGCTCTCACTATCTCGCTCTGTCAAATAAATAAATAAAATCTTAAAAAAAAAAAGCAAAAACATTTAAAGATGAGAAAAAATTTAATTATACATAATAAATATTTATTATATTTATAAAATATTGGAATATTACATATAATCAATCTCTTTGCCAAACGTAGGAGTTACAGACTTGTTACTGGCAAGAGTGAAGCAAATGGGTAAGCAAAACTATTGTGATGTAGGAGCATTTCCTAGTTTAGCTTTCATTAAACTGTCAGTGCAGGAACTGGTTCCTAGGAAGGTTACAATGTTTCCTGATAAGACTTGCCAACCGCTTCTGGGAATGATGTTGGCATTACTTGAAGGTGCAGACCAGATGGCCTGCCTTCTGATGCATTTGGGCAAGTAGCAGAGGCAAGGGGAGGTTGGATAAATATGTGGAAGGGTTATTTAATGTGATACAGTACCAAAACTCTAAGGACTTGCAGCTAATTTAAAATTCCAACTTTTGAACCTTTATCCAGGCCACCCTAGAGTTAAAGCCTTGACTCACTCTCAAACTCAGAAAAAGAGAGCTAAATGATGAACAGAGGCAGGGAGAAAGGCTGTGGTAAAAATGCATTCCTGATGGCCCAGAAAGTGCTGCTTGCTGACATATAAAGTCAGAGTTTAGTATCAGCAAGCAAAGCTGCTTGATTCTCATAACTCATCAGCCTCTGTCACTCTGTATGTGGATCAGCTTTTCTGCCCAGGTCAGAGAGCAGGGATCCCTTAGAGGAGCATGTTGTACTTACTGTGGGGTGCCTGATGTCTGGGTTTTCTGACTGGGAAGCATTTCTGACTCACCTCATGTGGAGCTTCTGAACTGCCCGTTCTTGGAGAAAATCTTTTCTCCGGTACTTCTAATGACTCTTAGAAGAACCATGGCTTGCCCACTGGAGGGGCCTCTGTAAAATAAAGCAGGTTGGCTAGACTTTGTTTTCAAGAAAGCAGAATTAGAAAATCAATCCTTACATTACATGTAACACATTTGATGGTCAGCCTCACACATGGATATTTTAAATCTGGGGGTATTTCAGTGCGACATCTGAGAGCTATGCATTATAAAAACAGAAAAGCATGTACTCTTTTTTTTTTTTTTTTTGTCAGCTTTCTTAGCCTGTGATACCCTAAAGATGCAAAATTAATCATACTGAACAGAGAAAACATAACAAATTACTTAATACCTTTGACTTGAATTCTACCTTTATTAAAAAGGCAAGCATCTAGTGGTTTACATTATTGTGTGTACCTTAAATTAAGTTAGAAACTGTTATAAGATGGAAGATTTTTGTGGTCATCAGTTTTCAAAAACACTTCAGATAAAGGCTACCTAGAATAATTACAAGTACATTTTAAGAGTTATAAACTCACCTTGCAGGAAGTAATTTGTTGAACTACACTAGAGGTTTTACCAGAAAGGAAGAACAATGTCATAAATTATTTTGTGAGTCACATTAAAAGGAATTTGATGGGACGTCTGGGTGGCAAAGTTGGTTAAGTATCCCACTCTTGGTTTCAGCTCAGGTCGTGCTTTCAGGGTCGCGAGATAGAGCTCCGCGTCAGGCTCCATGCTCAGTGCAGAGTCTGTTTGAGATTCTCTCTCCCTCTCTCTCTGCCCCTCCCGCTCATTCTCTCTCTCCCTCTCAAATAAGTAAATCTTTATTTTTTAAAAAGATTTTATTTATTTGTCAGAGAGAGAGTGAGCGCACAAGCAGAGGGAGCGGCAGGCAGAGGGAGAAGCAGACTCCTCACTGGGTAAGGAGGAGCCTAATGCAGGTCTTGATCCCAGGGGCCTGAGATCATGACCTGAGCTGAAGGCAGGTCAGACTGAGCCACCCAGGCATCCCCCAAATAAGTAAATCTTTAAAGAAAAAAAAAAAGAATTTGGTGAGAAGGGTGATTGGTAAAATCTAACTTGTAGTTAAGAAATCTAACTTGAAGAGTTGTAGAGCTTGACACTGTTGGGATATAGTTGCACACATTTGCTGCTCATGCTTCATATACTAATGCAAAATGATAATAAAGGTAGTAATTATGAGGGCTTCAATTATGCCAAACTGCCAGATATATAATTAATAAAGTACTAAAATAATATTTTAAAAATAATCATAACTGGGGCACCTGGGTGTCTCAGTTGGGTAAGCGTCTGCCTTCGGCTCAGGTCATTATCTCAGGGTCCTGGGATCCAGCCCGGTGTCTGGCTCCCTGCTCAGCAGGAAGTCTGCTTCTCCCTCTCCTTCTGCCCCTCCCTCCTTCTCGTGCTCTCTCTCAAATGAATAAATAAAATCTTTAAAAAATTATAACTACCATTTCTTTTTTTATTTTTTTTTTATTTTGAGAGAGACAATGAGAGACAGAGAGCATGAGAGGGAGGAGGGTCAGAGGGAGAAGCAGACTCCCTGCCGAGCAGGGAGCCCGATGCGGGACTCCAGGATCATGACCTGAGCCGAAGGCAGTCGCTTAACCAACTGAGCCACCCAGGCGCCCCTATAACTACCATTTCTTTAAAAAAAGCATATAACTCACAGTTAGTAGACTTACTAAATTGGATCAGAACTATATTATTGGAGGTATATTTTAGGTTTGTGGGTTCTCATAAAACAAAACTCACAAGTCCTCTAGAATTATCAGAACCACTGAGGGCTAGCAATTAATGCAAAGGAACTGGGGGTTTGGTTAGAGATAGTTGGTTACAATCCCAAACTCTAATGCTATAGTCACACCATTTATACCACTCAATTACCTAGAAAATCAGCTGAATTTGAGCACTTTTAGTCATGGGTCCAAATTCATTTACATATGTTAATACTGAAGCTATGGCAGTTATCTTGTTATAAATACCTTGCCTCACATTGTAATGTAAAATGTGTGATATTTAGCACTGCTTATATGAATTATATAAATAATAGAAAATTTGGATAAATTGAGGCTTTTAAAATTAGTATTATTGTTGTTACTTTTTCCATTAGTACCTGCAGCTTCAGCAATGACTTTGTGACACTGTGTCTTAACAGTGACCAGTTCTGTAGCTTTTGAAATGCTGGATTTTCAGTTGTTTGTTTTGTTTGTTTTTTAGAAAGAGAGAAAGAGAAAGAGAGAGTGCACACGGGCAAGCAGGGGAAGGAGCAGCGAGAGAGAGAGAGAATCTTAAGCAGGCTCCAAGCCCAGCACGGAACTGACTCAGGGCTTGATCTCATGATCGAAGGTCATGACCTGAGCTGAAATCAAGAGTTGGTCGCTTAACTGACTGAGCCACCCAGGCACCCCTGGATTTTCAGTTGTAAGGCAGATTTTGTCAGTGGCTTTTCTCTTATTAAATTCTCTAATATTAGGGGCGCCTGGGTGGCTCAGTTTGTTGGGCGGCTGCCTTCGGCTCGGGTCATGATCTCAGAGTCCCAGGATCGAGTCCCGCATCAGGCTCCCTGCTCGGTGGGGAGTCTGCTTCTCCCTCTGACCTTACCCCCTCTTGTGCTCTCTCTTTCACTCTCTCTCTCTCTAATAAATAAAATAAAATCTTTAAAAAAAATAAATTCTCTAATATTAATGAACAATGAAACATCCATTAAATTATTAGGAAATAATATATATTATACTGGATTGTATAATGCTGAGAAGTTTATGTCTTCAACAAAATTGTTAGACCTGTCCCTGACTTTGAGCAATAACCACATTATAGTCATTAACTGAAAAGTAAAGATAAGAATATGCCATTGTTTCTACTATGTGAAAAATAAAACCTTGTAAATCATAAAACATCCCCCACAACTCTTATTACAACTATTTAAAGGACTGTGAACTTATCAAAATGCATATGAAAAAAGTTTTTTGTTTTTTTTCTAAAGTAAGCTCCACATCCAACATGGGGCTTTAACTCATGACCCTGAGATCATGAGCCACATGCTCTACCCAGTGAGCCAGTCAGGCCCCCTGAAACACGTTTTAATATACTTTACAATGGGTAGATTTATCTGAATTCTCAGGCATGGTTATGGCAGAGTAAGAATTCTCTAGCAAATTCAATAAAAAGCATGACTGAAAAACATTTGAAAAGTTCTATGGGAGAAGTGCCAGTAAAGACCACAGGATTCGACAGACAAGAAGGGGAGTTCAAGAGAGCACCATCCCACAGGAGGCCAGAAAGGCTCCATCAAGAACATAGTGGTCACTAGTCTTGGGCAAGAGCGGGGACAGCTTTTCCAGAGACTGGAAGAAAGGGAGCATGTAGCCTGTTGTTTTTGTTTTCCTAGCATCTCTTATCTCTGCTTTTGGTAACAGTCCCAAATTTTTGTTTGGGGACCCACTAAGAGGTGGGAGAAGTGGGAGTATGATCTAAGGGAAGCCAATCAGATTCTATTTATCTCAGGAATTTGAAAGTTCATAAAAGAAACACAAGAGGGGAAATGACTGGACCTTGGTCATTCTGGTGGCATTGGCTCAAAGGGGACTCCTGAGTTCCTATGGTTTATGCCCTTTCCAAGCCCTGACTGCTTAGCTTTTCCTTACCTGTGAGTCCTGTAGGTTCTTAACCCCAAATTCAATTTTGTCACTTTGCCAGTCAAATTCTGTTATGTGCAAATAAAGAGCTGTATGAGATACAGAAGGTGTGTATACATAGAAACATTTTAAGTATGAGGTGAGAAGAGGAAGTCCGTTCTCTCTTGCAGAGGCAAGTGGGTAGATAATATGAAAAACTGTGGTGAACTTATGGAAGGGAGCTGATCAAGGATAAGTATAAAGATCAAGGATAAGTAAAAGGACTGCTCATCAGTGCTGAGAGTTCAGCCAAATTTGCAGAATATTAATTTGTGGTAATTTCATTTGGGAACCTAGGTGCAGGAAAGGAGAAAGGACATAATTGGACTGATTGAAAGTTAGGAGCTAGCAGAGCTATGTGTCAGAAAGTTGACATGAGGATATTAAAGAGCTTTCAGGAGAAGTTGATGGCTACTATCATGCGTGCTACGCAGAACAGGAAAGGAAATAAAGCTAAGAAGGTGTTATTGTGGGAAAAGGGGAGGACTGAGGGATGAGGTTTGGGTTAGTTGATAACAGACTAGGGAATAAAAGAAAGACCTGAAAATTTAAAAGGCTGCTCTATTGCAGTCCAGATCTAGAAGAAAGAAAATCAGGTGATAAGGTCCAGGGTGTGGGTGAGGGGCTTTGAGAATTGGGATGTTGATTAAGGATCTTGAGGCACATTAAGCCCAGGGTCATTACCTGGCTACTGAAGTTGATGATGTCAGATGAGATGCAAGAGCAGTAACTGGCTCACCTAAATTTTACCAAATTGGAAACGTTTTTGTTTTGTTTTTTATGAATGTGAGGCATTCTACTAGAAGGCTGGTAGATAGTCACCTAAAAATAAAGTTCCCTTAAGAGAGTAAGACTAGCTACAGTGTAGCACAGTGGCTAACTGTGTAGGTTCTCGGCTCTGTGTCTTTACTGATTGTCTAACCCTGAGGAAGTTACTTATCTTTCTGTGCCTCAGTTTCTTCAACTATAATATAAAGATAATAGTACCTACTTCACAGGATCATTGTAAGAATTGAATGAATTAATACGTATAAAATGTTTGGTAAATACTGAGCACTTCATAAATACCAGCTATTATTAATAAAGGGAGACAGATATATAAATAAATTATAATACAATGTTATGATATTTGTACAAACATAGAGAAAATGACAGGGGCATTTAAACTGTACTTGGGATAATCAGGGAAGTTTTCACTGAGGTGATAGAGGCAAAAACAAAAGAAAGTCCGAGAGTTGGACAAAGAGCATAGGGAAAGTGGTAAGATCCATGTTTAATGCTCACCAGGAGGCAGGCATCGTGCTAGCTGTTTTAAGAATATCACCACACTTAATACCATGTCCCTGCAAGATACGTATCTTCCTTTTTCTGAGGACGAAAGGTAACAGAGTTTAGGTAACTTGCCCCTGGGCACAAAGGAATGAAAAGAAACTGAGATTTTTAATTAAAGAAGTTGGTCTGGCACAAGAGGGACTCAGTAAAGGGAAAAATCTGGATCACTGAGCGCTAGCGGGGAGCTGGGAGAATTGAAGATATATTCACAACAGAGATCAGATTATGAAAGATTTTTGCTTGTCTTACGAGAAGCCTGCACCTGAATCTGTGGACAACGCTGAATGCGTAAAAGGCTTTTTTAAGCAGGACCTACACAAAGAGTTGAAACCGAGCAGGTCGGCAGGCACGGTGATGGTCAGATTGGTCCGTCCCCCTCCACTTACTGAACGCCAGTGCGCCGACCCAGCAGCGAAGAGCAGCGGAGATGCAACCAGGAAGAGACGCAGCTGGGAAAGCTTTCCCTCCGCCCACGTCGCCCGACGGCCGAAGCCGCTAGGCGGGTTGTTTCACAGGTTTCGGACTCCCCTCTTGTGACAAGCCGGGTTGGCAGCGTGCTCCGGAGCCATAGCCTGCGTCCTCCCGCTCCATGACAGCCCGGCCACCAGCGCCCCCTGCCGTCGGCATCCTCTCTTCCCCCCCACCTTCCACCTTAGCCCAGCTGCAGGTCTTCTAACTCAACTCCCTAAGCCGTGGCCACTTCTTTTTTCCGGCGGCGCCGCCGCACATCCGGTCACGTGCGAGCCAGGTCACGTGAGAGGCGATCACGTGCCGGGGCCGCGGAGCTCGGGGTTCGGGGCTCGGCTTCCGCGAATCTGCGGGCCTCGGCGGGTGCGGTCGTGGCTGCGCCGGAGCCCGCCGAACTGCACGGCCGGGATGGTGAGGGCGATGGGCAGGGGCGGGCAGGAGCCGGCCGGGGTGGACCGGGGCCGCCGCCTCCCCGAAGCTCAGCCTCTCTTCTCCGTCCTTCCCGCTGCAGATGAACCGGACGACACCGGATCAGGAGCGGGCGCCGGCGTCCGAGCCCGTGTGGGAGCGACCCTGGTCGGTGGAGGAGATCCGCAGGAGCAGCCAGAGCTGGTCGCTGGCGGCTGATGCGGGCGTGAGAGGCGGGCCCCAGGGACGGGAGGGGAGCGCGGGCCGTCTGGGGTGACGCGCGGCCTGCGAGCAGGAGGACGGGAGCAGCGATTCCTTCTCCACTCGGTCAATCCCGCTGCCTCTCTTATTTTTAATAACACGTCTTTTCTCGCGCTCAAAAACGCCAAGGTGGCGGACCCTAGGCACCTGGGCTGGGGCGGGCCCGTCGTCCTTAGCCGGCTGAGTGCCCCCACTCGGACTGCAGCCCAGATGCGGGGTTCTCTTCCTTGTTTGGGTTTTCTAGCGGTGCACCCATCTCCATCCCGAGGGAGGCAGATTTTTCTCAGAGCCGCGGAATTGCTAGGGCACCAGTGAAGCCATTCCACGTTGGGACCCGGACTGTATGGGGAGGTAGACAAGCCTCTATATAGAGATCCCTGAGTGGGACTTTAAGGGCTGGGGACCCTGGAAACTCAAAACTGTGATTCCAAAGTCCTATATGAATACATTTTTTTTTTTTTTTTAGTAAGAGTGGTGGTTTGTTATTTCGCTCTTCGTTTGGGATTTCTGAAGAATGATAAACAGACAAGACTTTAAAATTTCTCCAGAAATGAGGTAGCAAGTGTCCATTGACTCCTTGCCACTGTTTCGATGAGCTTCTTTAATGTTTTTCAGTGCTGCTTGGTCTTGGGTACTGTCAAAAGCGGCATCCCTCCATTATAGCACACACACACTCACACAAAGGTGAAAAGAAATGGGTTCTTTTTTTCTTTTGATGCACGGAATAGACGCATGTAATATTGATATTGCTGTATGTTTGTTTTTTAAATAGCTCCTACAGTTTCTACAGGAATTCTCACAGCAGACTATCTCTAGGACCCATGAAATCAAGAAACAAGTGGATGGACTAATCCGGGAAACTAAAGCCACAGATTGTCGCCTTCATAATGTCTTCAATGACTTTCTTATGCTGTCTAATACCCAGTTCATTGAGAATGTGAGTTACTTAATTGTATCAGACTTATGAATAGTGTTTTTTGGAGAAGCAAGAGTCTGTTGTGATATTAAGTGATTTATTATTAGTTACCCTCCTTAAATTTGATGAATGTAGGGGTTCTTGGGAATTGAAGCTTCTTTCTCTAGGATTAATGCCTTTTTCTAATTAATAAAGTTTATTTTCTCAAGACTTTAAAAAAATCTAATGATACAATTTTCTTACATTCTAGTTTTTCCATCCCTTTTTAGTTTTAGTTGTGCTGACTTATATGGCATTCCAACAAGCCTTATTGTGGACATGTTCTGTTAAGGAGAGCTATACACCTAGTTTGATCCTCTGGGCACCAGAATATGGCTGCAATATTGACTGTGTCCATCACGTTTTGATGTTATATTAAAGGCATGTGTGTGCCTACTTGGAATAGTCTTTTTTTTTTTTTTTTTGTAATATTAACATTTTGTTACAATGGCTGAACCTGTGATACAGAATCAACTCTAAACAGAGTACTGAGCTTTGAGCCATGTGTGATTTTCCCTATATATGTATTGACTTTCTAAGTGCTAGGTCCCAGGAATACATAGGTAAATTAGATAGATCTTTCTTTAGAGAAGATCACAATCCTCCATAATAGTGTAATTCCCGAATAGAAAGGAAACAAATGTGGCTAGAGCCCAGTGAGTGAAGGGGAGAGTGTTAAGAGATGAGAATGGAGAAGAAGCTTAGTTAAGCTGATTTCTATGTCTCATAGGAAGGTTAACTTTCTGAGTGTCAGCCTTAACTAATCTGTGAAAGGAGGATTATTAAAGTAGCCTATCTCCTGAGATTGTTAGGTGTAAAGTAGTAGAAAGGATTTTGAAAATTGCAAAATTATAAAAGCCCAAGATTCAGGATTGTGAAGAGAAGGCCAGATATTGTCATGCAGGTATCTTTTGCCACATAGTAATGCATTTTTTTAGTAGTTCATGTTGAATTGCCACTACTGTTTTTGGGAAACTGTGTAAAATAAGGATATTAGTAAAGATGTTAGAGATCTCTTTGCTAGTAAGTTTAAGATATGGCAAGTATTGGGGCGCCTGGGTGGCTCAGTCGTTAAGATGTGGCAAGTATTCGGGCGCCTGGGTGGCTCAGTCGTTAAGCGTCTGCCTTCGGCTCAGGTCATGATCCCAGGGTCCTGGGATCGAGTCCCACATCGG